GATGGTGGGTGGGGTCTCTTGGGGTCTTGGCACTGACCCCTACCCCGGTGCTCTGCTCCCCAGGTGACCGCGCCGGCGGCTCCGCATGGGGGGCTGATGGCGTCGTATGCCTGCCAGCGCCGCACCCCGCTCCTCCACAGCAACCAGGCACTGACGGTAACGGCTGCCCCATGGCCAGGAGGGCTGGGAGCCAGGTGGATCCCCAGTGCTGGGAAGCGAGTGTCGTCTAGTGGTTAGAGCAGCCTGGTTGGGAGCTAGGACTCTTGGGTTCTCTCTTTGGGCATGGGAGGATCCGGCACTTGGGGGTCAGAGCTGGGCAGTGGAGCCAGAACAGGGACAGGGGAGTCGAAGCTGAGGGAGGCCTGGGTGTGCTCAGAAGCACTGAGCTTTGGTCCCCGAAGGGGGGGTGAGACCAGCTCTGCCCCCTCCCCCCGGTGACTCTGCTCTGTCCCAGGAGGCCCTGGAGATCCTGGCAGAGGAGGCGAGGTTCAGCGGCAGCGAGGGGCGCAGCCTGGCATTCACCAGGGCAGCCTCCGTGCTGAAGGCCCTGCCCGGCCCGCTTGGCACCTTGGGGGAGCTGGGGCCTCTGCCCGGCATCGGGGAGCACTCCCGGCGGGTCATCCAGGTAAGTCCCGCCCCAGGCCTGAGCTGGGGGTACTGGGCATGAGGCAGGGGGAGACCCTGCAGCCCTGGCATGCTCTGCTAGTGCCCCTCAATCCCAACCCCCTGCCACAGCCCAGCCCTGCCCCCCAACCCTCTGCCCTGCCCCCAACCCTCTGCCAGCCCAGCTCTGCCCCCAACCTTCTGCCCTGAGCTGCTTCCAATTCCCTGCCCTGCCAGCCCAGCCCTGTCTCCTCCCCTGCTCTGCCAGTCCCCCCATCCTAGGCATCGTCCTGCAGTGATGGGTGGGGGTTGCTGCTCAGGCCCCGGGGAGGGGCGGACTCGGCTCAGCCCTGTCTCTGGGGCAGGACGTGCTGGAGGACGGCGTCTCGGCCGAGGTGGAGCGCGTGAAGCTGTCGGAGCGATACCAGACTATGAAGGTACCAGATCTGGTTGGGGGATGTGGGGCCGGGTGCTGCCCCACACGTAGTCCGAGACCCTACACTGCTCCCAGCTGCTGGAGAGTCTCCTTGGGGTTGGTGGTGGGGTCTGGCGCTTGGGGGACGTGGGGGAGGGTCTGTCCCGGAGGGACGTGGTGCCGGCCTGCGCTGGGGCCTGGAGCTAGGAAGCAGCCGGGACTCAGCAGCCCTCAGAGATGCTGGAGTTGTCTCCGGGCTCAGCTGTGCTGCTTGCCCCGGGAACCCTGCTCCAGTGTCTCTGGCTGCTCTGCAGGCTCCATCGCCCTCCCCACCCTGAGCCTCCCCTCGTCCTCCTGTAGAGCTTCATGCTACCCCACCTGGCCACGGCTGGCTGGGCAGGCTCTGGAGAGCCTGGCCCGGACCCGGAGCTCACTGGGGGCTGAGGAGTCAGCAGCTGCTCCCAGCTGCCCTCTGGTGGCTCTTCTGGCAGCCTGCAGGCTCCGGCCAGGCAGCGTGTCTTAACACAGGGTCACGCCTGATGGGGCCCAGCATTGGCCATAACAGACCTCTGTGGCATGTCTATTTCAGCCTCTCCATAAGGGCCCTGGATACAGGCTGAAGTAGGCTGGCGTATGGTAAACGTGCCAGCTGAGCTGAAGGGGGATCTTCGTTTGCAGTACAGGGCCTAGGACACACAGCTGAGCAATTACGAGATGCATTAAACACTCTGGGGAGCTGGCACTAGCTCCCGGCTCTGTCCGTGCTACTCTGTGGCATGTCTATTTCAGCCTCTCCATAAGGGCCCTGGATACAGGCTGAAGTAGGCTGGCGTATGGTAAACGTGCCAGCTGAGCTGAAGGGGGATCTTCGTTTGCAGTACAGGGCCTAGGACACACAGCTGAGCAATTACGAGATGCATTAAACACTCTGGGGAGCTGGCACTAGCTCCCGGCTCTGTCCGTGCTACAGGCGCGTCCTGCGGCTGCTACTGGGGGTAGCTGCTTTCTCCTGCCACCGATGCCACCTGTCCGGCCCTCCCGGCACTGCCTGTCCTGTCTCTGCAGCTCTTCCACAGGACATTCGGGG